TTGTCAAGGCGCCATTTTGAAAAAGTGCTTTGTCCAAACCGCATTATTTTGTAACAAATTCATCGTTTTGAACCATGCCAGCGGCCGTTTTAAAGGATGAAATGGTTGCAAAGGAAGAGGATAACTATCCAAGGTAGTTACAGGAAAGAGATAACTCTGATCAGGCGATTTCGACTCGAGAAGTATGTACAGGCTTGACGCATTCTCATTTCTTATCAACAGGATTACGAAGAAAGTGCTAATTCAGCTTTGCAAAGATCACAAATTGTACAGAACGCCATATCTTAACGATGTTCTCTACCTTCATTATAAAGGTACGTTATTCTAGGTAAAGGTAAGTTACATTAATGCTTCTTTCGGGGAGCATTTAATTTAGATAAGTGTTACATGAAAGGTTGGCTAGGGGTAATTTGTAATTGTTTTTATATTATCAACTTGAAAAACCGATGTCGTTTCATCCTGCGAAAGCTTAGAGCTGTTAAAAATTTTTTTGGTTTGTCTTTTCTTGTGGCTATATACTTGGCAGACGTATTTTTTCAAATAATTTCCTCCGAAAGGTGCTCTCAAACATCTTACGCCAAGAATATCAGGTGTTTGTTCAGAGATGTCAAGCGACTCTGAAGATAATTTTGGCGTTTAGTGGAGGAATTTTCCGAGCTTGTGCAAGCTGCAAAAGTGCTTGCACGTCGACACTTGGTAAACGTTTGTGGACAGACTGCGGCGTGTGTAGGCTTAGTGCCCAATTCAGTCAAAAACAATTCCACTGAATTCCCACAGAAAGCTCCATTCAACCCCAATGAGATTGTTTGATTCTTTTTGAAAAATGCTAAGCAATTCTAAATATTATGATGTTTTTTATTAAATAAATTTTCCAAGCTTGTGCATACCATAATGTGGCTAGGTGGTTTATGTTACACTTCAGCATGCCAACAATAAAGTAATACTGCACTATTACCTTTAACTTCCTGTACCATGTGATTTGAGCTTAATAACTATTACAGGGTTTGCAAAGATAGAAAACCTTGAGGAGTACACAGGCTTAAAATGCTTATGGTTGGAATGCAATGGAGTTCACAAGATAGAAAATCTGGACTATCAGAAAGAGTTGCGATGCCTGTGAGTTCTATTTGATCTTTTTCAGTCAAAATCTTAAAGATGACAGTACAAACTACCTAAAGCAGGGGTTGTTGAGGTTTTCTTGTAGAAACTCTTTCTCGCCTTTTGAACATCAAACATACATGGGCAATCATTTTCAGTAAAGATAAGCCCCCATAAAATTGTCTTTAAAGGGTTAAGTCTCTATTATTAGAAACTGTGGTGCTAGGTTGCAGGGGACGTATTACAAGAAAATTGGGTTTAATCAATTGAGGTGATAATGTAAACTGGCTATGGTAGAGTGTTAATCTAAAGCTGACATTTCGATTGTCAGCCGTTTGTCAGAGTGATAGGCAAACGCTGAAGGTAAGGGATAAAGCTTGAAACCTCAGCATCAGAAACTTTGTACAGTAGCCAATTTATAACATCAACTGAGTTGAAAACTATGTTAAACATGCACCGCTTACTATCAAGTACAATTTTTACTTGGCCACTTTGGGTTATTTACAGAGTTTTACCTCAGGTTTTCCTCAAGCATTATATATTGTCATCCAAAGCATCTTGGGTTAAATGGCCTCCTGTACAAACTGTATCAGGATCCTGTGACATTTAAACAGTTTTTTGTGCTTTAACATCGAGTTCACATCCATGCACATTCACAGTGGACCTTATAATGCCAGATTTGTGTATAATTAGCAGCATTTTTAAAATTTTACTTTGATTTAGATACCTACAGCAGAATCTCATATCAAAGATAGAGAATGTGGAACATTTACAACAGCTGGATACTCTTAATGTTAGCAACAACACCATTTCCAAAATTGAAAACATTGGTAAGTTTGTTCTTGTTCCATTGTTTATTAAAATAAATAAAGTTTACTTCATCTTGTATGTATATACGGTCACTGTACAACTTAGGTTGAATTTCATCTTTCATGGAATTGTTTGATGACCACACCTCTTAATCAATTACACCCATAAAATTATTATTTTCCTAATAACTAATATTCTCGGTCATGAGGATGGTTTTGTCCACCTGATTTGACAATTTGGAGGAAATTTATCCTATAAAGAAGTTTAGTTTAAAAAATCCCCCCCCCCCCATGAAAACCAGTTATCCTCCTGCTAGAAACATCAATGAAATTCCTGCATCAGTAATTTTCTTTACTGTCTGCCATGTAACTCTTGTGATGTTAGTTTGGAGAATTTGATATTCAATCAACTAATAATCCCCTCATTGACATTTTTCTTTGTTCTCATCACTTGTCTACTTGATATTGTATTGATTTTGTAAGGAAAAATTATGTCTCGGTCACTGTATACTGAGCTGTATGAGGTACGGAGGCACTAGCGAGGGATGACACCTACATTAGTTGAGGTTTTTTTTTTTTGTTTTTTTTTTTTTAGTTAATAAAACTAAGAAAATAAAACAATAATGACTGGTCAATTTTGAAGCACACCTGTAGTTTGTTTTCAAATTTCCATAACACATGTGCATGTAGTTGCAAATACTAAATATTGCCCTCAGATACACGGTGCACCTCCTTGCATATTTAAGAGACCATGTCAGGTTTTTATTTTTTTATTACTTACTTTTATCCTGATTGTATGGTATCTTCAATAGGTGCCATACCCAAACTTAGCACTTTACAGATATCGCACAACCGTTTATCATCTGCTGACGACTTGAGACATTTGTCAGAATGTTCTAATCTGAGGTAAAGTTTATTGAACCTTATAAGCCTGCATGCATAGCTAGCTTACAAAAATAGAAAGGAGAGAGTTGATGGGCACTGAGTGCAATCATTTTAAATTGCAGATCCAAAACCGTGCTTTGAATCTGTGTAAACCCTTCATCCTCTTTTATGCCACACAGGCTACAATCCTTATCTCAATTTTTGAGAGAAACATTTCCACCCTCCCCTCTTGTCATCCTTCCTCTCTTTTCAATATTTATGTAACAGGAATATTCAACTACCTGAAAAGAACTCAACACTGAGAGTGGAGGAAGGTGTTTCAACAGAATGTGATGAGGAATGTAGTCATATATTTTATCTTCACCTTCTTAACATTTATAAATATACATGTACTTAATGAGTGAGGGGAAGGTTGGGATGCCAAAATATTGAGCTTATAAGGTCATGATATGTGGAAACATGCAGCTTGGCCTGTGCATCAGTTGACTGAGAGCCTAATATTTTCTTGTTCAGCCAGTCAAAAAGCATATTATCATTTGAACACTAAGTGTTAAGAAGTTTTGAAATTGTTTTAACTTATTAATTAAGGCAGCAAACCATAGAAAAGATTCTACAATCATGATAACTTTTCCTTTGTTTTTTCGAGTCAGAACATCTTCTGAAATCAGTGTTAGTACTTAGTATTTTTTGAGCAAGTTTTTGTACTTGAGTTGGTCAATTATGGCATACAGTGTTTTTTTTTTAATCATTTCTTATAATATTCCTATTCTGTGGAACCTTTATTAAGTGGTCAACCTGTATTATGTAGTCACCCCTCCATTCCCTATGGGTGACCACCTAACATATGTTTGATTGTATCCAAGTCCATCCTGTTTAGGGGCATGGCCTCCATGTTGATCCCTGTCTGAGTTCCTTTTTATACAATTTTGTTTAACTTTGTTTGAGTTTATGAGTGTCTGAGTCAGTGAGTGTCAATTAACTATGATTAATCCAGCTAAGTATATCTGAGTGTCTATGTGGCTTTTACTGTCCATCTGCTCCATCTATCTTGTGAATGGCTTCGTGACCGGAAGGTTTATGTTCACTTTCAGGCTTCAGTCATATGAATAAAGGCTAATAGTTTCGAAAGAAACTGTTTGGGGCTGCGTCGGTGGGAGTAACGAAATAATTTGGATACATCAACAAAGTTGAAATGGTAAATTGGCCACCGTAACGATTACAAAAGCTGACGTTTCGAGCGTTAGCCCTTCGTCGGAGCGAATAGAGGAATTGTGGGTTGTGTGTGCTTTTAAAGGCAGAAAATGGAGCTACGTTATTGGTGGGAACATGGCAACGAGAAAAACAAGAATAAATTAGTGGAATGAAAAGCGTTCGTTGATCCCTGTGGGATTTAGACTGCCGGTTTGAAAGATGAGCTTTTGTTCAAGATTTTTACGGCTTTCCGTGCTACCTAAGTGTAAGGAAAGACCGCAGATTGCCATATGTTGCTTAGAATGATTAGGTAAATTAAAATGTCTAGCGACTGGTTTCGATGTGTCCTTGTCATTC